ATTATTTTTGTATTTATTATCGATTCTGCTCATTTTGTGACCTATACATATTGTATGCCTCTATTGTGCAATGTTTGTGATGCCAATTCCAGCCTAAATATCTTCATTCAATTTTTGAGCTGTATGTTTGCGAAGGGAATGGTTTATAATCCTCCTACTAGCACAATTAATACCTGTAATGAAACAAGCTTCCTTCATAACACAAAAAACTTATCACGGCCTACAGGACGGTTTAAAATCAGAAGTTTTTATAAAAGAACGGATCATTTTTATTTATTTTTTTTGTATTAAAAGAGAAAGAAAAATTGAATTATATATTTGAATTATCAAATTAATATCATTTCATATAAGCTTAAACGTACAAGCTAATGACGTATTTTTTCATGTGAGAGGTCAGGGTATTATTATTACGAATATACTGATGGTAAAATAGGTTGTCTGTAAAATGTAATAGGCTGTCCGTAAAATGGTTAGTGAAATAGTTGGGGAAATCTACCAAATCCGTAAATTGAAATCTAAAAATCCTATTGGTCAAATGTGTTGGTTACAGGCTAAATCCCGACATCCAAAATCTCGGCAGGCCATAATACTGACATCACAAGTAAAAATTTAAGGTCTGATAATGATTGTTAATGCAGTCAGACGATTTAGAAATGATGCATTTTTTATAATCTAAAAAAGTTATTTTTCCAATTGAAGATCTTTACCAAAAAGAGAAATGATTTGTGTTACACGAATTTGAAAAATCCCTGACTGTAATGAATCTTTATCATGCTTTTTAAATTACTGTGATCAGCAAATTTCATAATTTTTAACCAATCATATACTGGTATTCCTTTCAGATTCGTGAGATATATTATTACAGTAATTCGAAAAGCATGATAATTGTCATGCCAGGATTATGGTTTTTGAGATTTCGATGTGGGATTTTGGCCTGTAACCAAATGCGTTAATTTCACATTCATCCAAATGTTAGCATCATCCCTGATATTAAATATTTCTATAATGTTTATAGTTTTTTATGTGAAAATAAATTTTATAATATTTTATTCAAATAAATGAAAACTTTCCTACTGTAAACTATATTCCCTTAAAAAATGATTTAATTTTTACAAACTTTTGAATACAATTTGTCTGCAAAAAGTATTAATTAGACAACATATATTTGTCAAATTTTCTACAACATCATAGAAACAACATTCTCTGACATATAATTCACTTCTTTCAAAACTTTCTACCAACTCCTCACTTGATTGCAATTTATCGAATTCGTCATGAAGTTTTTTCAAAATAACTATAGAAAATTAAATAATATTAATAATTATCTTAATATTTAATTAAATATAAATAATAAAATAAACCTATTATTTTTTGAATAGTTGGATCTAAAAGCTTTAATCTACTTGTTGTATATTCTAATTCAGTAGTTAAATCATACGCTAATTTTAACCCGATGATAAGAAGAAAATCCGAATATACTTCATTTTGTACTTCATTTGGTGGTATCTGAGATAAAAAAACTTAAGTATGATATTATTAGTAAAAAATTAATAATTAGTTTTTACCTCTTTAGTATTCTTAGTGGTTGAAAATATTCCCCATTTATCTTTTTTCTGTTTTGTAGATTTATAAGGTTTATAAGGTTTATCAATTTCTTCAGACTTATAAGGTAAGGTTTCTTTAATCTCAGTGATTTTGGCTAATAATTTTTCTTGAATTTCAAAAAAAAAGAGGCTATCTTCCATATTATTAACAAAATTGTTAAACTTGCTAAGACCTTCATAAATTTCTTCAAATGGGATAGTTTTAGTACGATTAATCCATTTAGATAAGAAATCATTAATTTTATCAATTTCACCAACTGATAAATTAATTTTATCTGAGAAAGTGCTTTTTAAGTTAATATAATTCAATTTTCCATTCAATGCAGCTTTTAAATTAGCTAAATCAGAAAGAATCTCAAATTTCAAATCAATAATATAATTAAAATCAATTTTCAATGCATTTTCATTAAAATCTTTAAGTTTCTTATTAATTTCTTGAAGATATTTTTCGAGTTCTTCATGCTCTAATTTGCTTGGTGATTTTTTTACATCTTCTATTGCTTTTTCTAAATGTATTTGAAGATTTTCCGGTATTTCATAATCTTTATCAGTTACTATAATCACCTATAATATTGAATTAATTCATTAGATTGTATAAAATTTTATCTCCTAATTCATTGTATATTCTTGAAAGTTATATTTACATGCTATAATTATTATAATTTTTTAAATGTATTGATTAGTTTGGATTTAGTAAATAAGTAATTTTTAACATTAATACTCACTTTCTGTAATTTATGATTGATAAGAATAATGTTTAATTATGATATTATTAAAAATATAGTACTATGTTCATGACGAAACTACAGCATCTCTATTTTGGGATGTTATTGTCATATGCAACTTCTGATGAAACCTTATAACCCTTAGCGAATAGCAGATGATTGAACAAATATAATGTAGATAGCAATAAAAAGGTACAATTACGTTTTAAATGTCTATCTATCATCTTTCAGTTTTGGCTACCTTATTTTTGCAAAAGCGGAAACTCTCTATATTGACTATCTTTTTTTATTTTATTTATTTGATTTTATGTTTTACTTTGCAAAAAAAATAAAAAGCCAAAAATGAAAATACCGATGCTGAGTTAGAATTTTCTACCTTCACAACGAAGTTTGCAAGCCCGATAGATATAAGGGTGGATATCAATATACTAATTTCGTTGAATACTAGAAGTGATTTTATTAAGTAACATGTTCATGATAATGAATTCCATATCGGCGGATCAAAACCCATCAGTTATAATTCGGTCAAAATTGTCGATCATTTGGCTAAATTTTAAATTATTTACTCCAGATCTGGTCAAGTGATAAACAATTTTGTGTCCGGAATTACTGATGGGTTCTTATATTTACTAGACTACAAATCCGCCGATATGCTGTTTACTAAACCAGCTGAAATTCTATTTTATTATCATGAACTTGTTTACTTTTTATGCTCTTCGATTTTCTCCACTTAATTAGTAAAAGTTTGTATATGTACGAACAGCCATTTAATGTTTTGAATCTTTAATGACCTTCCGTAATATGCGACTTTTTACTATATTAATTCAAGTGTGATGAATTTTAATTGCTGTAAACCATACAATGCGTAAAACCATTATCATGGCTGGTGTTAAAATTAATTATGTTACATTTGCCTGAAGCGAAATTTGACGGGATGAATTTGCTTTTTTTGAGTTAGAATATGGTTTAGGGTTTGAGTTGTTAATGAAAGAATAAGACCCAAAATTTTAGTTTGGATAATCCGTCATCCGTTTATCCGGATAATCTGACAGGGTATTCGGATAATTATCCGGATATCCGATGGATAAATAGATAAACGGATAATGGATAGGAACTCTACAGTCTTCACAATTGTTAACAAGAAAAATTTCCATCGATCGCCATGGTTTCGTCTTCAATCAGAAATTGCTTGGCAATTTGATTTGTCAGGTAACATGGTGGCAGAAAAAGTTCGCTATCAGGTGATTTCTGATTGTTCTGAACCTATCAACATTCAAAATTTATATCGATATATTACTGCATTATTGATTTATTGATCGTTGATTGAGTCACAATCACCTGACCGCGAATTTTTTCTGCCATACTATGTTGTCATAATAGCAAATAATTCGCCATTTCAGAACTATTGAAATTTATAATTACGTTCTACAAACAATTTATGCAATTAATTAGAGTTTATGAAATTTAATTATTAAAATTTATACTCACTTCCTGGAATATATTTAATTAATTGTGAGAATTCACTGTGAAATTCTGATCTAATAAATGAATAACCGTTTTTTCATACTCACGTTCTGAATATTAATTAGAATGATAAGAACACATCGATTGATTTATTATAAAAGTCAGATTTATGATGATAAACGAGATAAATTAAGAAATTTTATATTTACTTCCTGAATGTGATTAATTGAGCGTTATTGATTTAGTAACAGAAAAAAACTTTTACTAATATGCACCTAAGAATTTTGCACACATTATCGCAAAATTGGCTAATTGATATGTAATGCTCTAGGTAAACATGTTTCACGTCCAAACTATTTCTAAACTATACTATGAAAAAAGCATAAATTTTACATACGAACCTATAAATTTAATAAAAATATAATAGCAAAGGATCCATAAGTGCAGCTCATAAAAAATGGTGAAATATATACATACTTTCTGGTAATTTATATAATTATTTAGATAATTGTCATGAAAGTTTTGATGAAATATTTAAAATTTTACTTACAAACTAAAAAAACGCATTCGGTTTAAAATTTCATAAGATTAAAATCTAATTAATAATCATAACTTTGTACTTACGACCTGAGAGTTAAAATTTTAATTAATTGTTTATCTAATTTAAAAGTTGTTAAAATAGTTAAATTTTATACTTACTCCCTGCAATTTATGTAGATAACGAGTATTTTAATTTAATTACTATGTAGGTTTAATTATTAAAATTTTTACTCACTCTCTAAAAATCAATAAGTAATTATTATTACATATAATTTGCAATTAAAGAATTAAAAGAAATATCATTTTATACTCACTTTCTGATAATAAATACGATCGATTGAAATATCAATTATTTATAAAACATAATCGCAATAAATCTTATTTGATTCTATACTTACGATCTAAAATTTTTTATAATTAATTGAGCAATTCTTTATAATAGTTAGACATGGAAATTTTACTTACAATCTAGTAATTATGTAATTGATTTATATTAGTTTTTATCCAATGCCGTAATATACATATTTGTATTTTACATTGTTGAAGTTTTATACTAGGGATGCTAAACTGGTTAAATTTATTATACAAAACTAGCTAGTTAAACCAGCTAGTCACGTATAAATTGTATTGTAAACTTCAAAAATGGTCAGACTACTTTTAACATTCTACTTACATCCTAGCAATATCTTTTATTGGTTAGAACATTATAGAATTCAAGAATAACAAATGATTGAAAATTTGTACTCACTTTCTGGTAAGTATGTGATCAAAATTAGAATATTTTTATGAATTCTAATTTAGAACATATTAATATTGAGATTCATACTAACCTATAATTTATATATTGAGAGTTTGAATTACTTATTATAAAATTATAATTTAATAAATATCATTGAACTTTTACTCACATACTGTAATCGATTGGAACATTGATTAATTAATTATAAAATTATAATTTAATAAATGAGGCAGCCAAAGGAAAACCAGACTTCATGAATTTAAGTTTATTTGCTGGATTCGGCCTGATCCGAAACGAATATTTTTTGAAAGCCCGAAGCCTTTGCCGCTTTTATTTAATTACGTATCACCAGAGATGGGCAAGGTAATTACTTATTGGTAAAAAATTAAATCACATTATATGATAATTTACTAATAATATATACATCTAATAACATGCTAATTTTTCGCATAGTGTGATTTAACTTTTTACGTATTTATGTAATTACCTTGCTCATCTCTACGTATCACATATGGTGCAAGACATCTATACTCAACAGTTACGCGAAGTGTTTCAATTTCTAAATGGCTATAACTTTTTATCTAAGAGGTTTTAAAAAAATTTGACCGGTAACTTTATAGAGCT